ATTTATTATAAGAAATGAAGAAGTCAGGGAAATCTGGGAAGACTTATATGAACTGATGCAGGATAAAGTAAATAGAACCATGAAAATAATACGCATAATAACTACAATAATATAAATAGAAACAACAACATTTCCACATCTCCCCTCTATCCCTTCTTTAATTTGTAGAGGTGGGGGACTATGGTAGTGGAATACTCTTTAGATCATCGAACTCTGAGGATTAGTTGCTTGGTTTTATAATACTTCTTATTTATCTTTCTTTGTTATAGAGGGTAGCTTGTCAGGAACAGACAGAGCAAAGAGTCAGAAATGAAGGTAATATAAAAACAAAAGATATTAATGCAATTTTACAAAATCTTTATAATCTTCTTTTTTTTCATGAGGCAATTGGGGTTAAGTGACTTGCCCAGGGTCACACGGCTAGTAAGTGTCAAGTGTCTGAGATCAGATTTGAACTCAGGTCCTCCTGACTCCAAGGCCAGAGCTCTACCCACTGCACCACCTAGCTGCCTCCAAAATCTTTATAATCTTAAAGAGTTGCCTAGGGCCAGGGATATGCTGGAGTCAGATTGGACTGGTTTGGAAGAGCCGATTGTTAAGTCTCAGTGTAAGCATTTATACCTCAGAAATTGGTAAAAAGCTACAATTCAGGGCTTGATCTACTGCTTGTTGATTTGCTTTGTTTCATAGACTTGAGGAAGTGATGGAGAAAATAATAAGAATGCAAGTTAAACTTAATATTTGTAGGCTTTTTTCCCATCCCTGCTGAAAACTTAAGCAACTTGCTCACGTTCACACAGCCTTATGTGTCAGGGATAGACTTGAACTCAGATCTTTCCTATTCCATAGCCAACCCTGTATCCGCTGCACCTTGCTACCTCTCAACAGTGAGCACTGCCTACTCCCTTTGCAGTGTTTTGGTTGATTACGCCTTGTGCTTCAGGCAGCTGTCGAGTGGAAATATTACTCCTCTTCTCAGGTATTATTTAAGTATCCCCTTCCTGATCTTTCTTAGCCATTGACTGTCTGTAAAATGGGTGGATTGTTCTGTGGGGGTGTCGGGGGATATCTGTATGCACTCCAAAGAATGGCTTCCATAGGCCAATACACCCATGCTATATGCCATTGACAGAGATCCCTCATACCAGAGTCCACAGAAGAAAGGAGACATCAGAAAATAAAATCAGAGGATTTAGAGGTAGAAGAGGCCATAAAAGTAATGAAGTCTTATTTCTTCATTTTATCATTTAGCCCAGATAAGTAAGGCAACTTGTCCAATGACATACAAGGAAGTAAGTGACAGGTCCATGAGTCAAGCTTATGTCTTATGATTCCCAATTGATTTTGATTGCACCCCAATAGAGCACAGTGGAGAGTCAGTAAGTAGGACCATGGAGAGTGCCCAGAGGCTGAGATGCCCATGCTCTATATGAAGCAGAGATTTGAGAACACCGGCATAGGAGCATTAGGTGACAAGCCATAGTCGGTAGGTGGTACAGTGGTTAAAATACTAGACTTGGAATCAGGAAGACGTCAGTTCAAAACTTGCCTCGGACACATTAGCAAGTGACCCTAGGCAAGGCATTTAATCTCCTTGGGCCTCAGTTTCTTAATATATAAAATGGAGATAATAATACCTACTCCTTAGATTTGTAGCAAGGATAAAAGGAGATAATATACCTCATTTGCAGACCTTGAAATGCTATGTAAATAATAACCATTATTATCACTCAGAGAATCAACTTCTGGATAGATTTAACTCTGGTTTTGTCTAGGGCAAGTTTTGGGGTGTAAAATACTTTGGGCCAGATGGGGTTGACCACAACATCACAGGATCATAGATTTAAGGCTGGAAGGGACTTCAGAGGCAAACTGGTCCAACTCCTTCATTTTACAGCTGAGGAAACTGAAGCTCAGAAAAGGTAAATGGTCTGTTCCAGATCTCAAAAGCAGGAAATATGAGTCACAAGATTCTTTTCTTGTTTCCTACTGGAGACTCCTCCCCTCCAGGAAAAATGCAGAATTCCTTTTTGTTCACTATCTACTCCTTGTCATCCTGATAAGATGGGACAGTTGCTGGCAGTTTTTCCCTAGAGGATCTCTTTCCCTGAAGCTCTTTTGCTCTACCATCAAATACAATGGCTTGGGTCTAGGCCAGAGATCAAAGAGCCTGTGCTAATGGTATTGATCATGTTGCTGAGCAGTCCACATATAAAACTCTTTGTCAGGAAAAGCTGAAGAAACTGTGATAATCTGCTACACCTTGTCTGAAACACAAATCCTCTAGCACAAGGTAAATGAGAGGGAGTGCCATAATAGAGGGTCAGTCTTAGTTGAGCTTCAGGGAAGACCTGAGTTCAAATTCTGACTCAGATATGCACCAACTGTGTGACCATTGCCAGATTGCTAAGCTTTTCTCAGCTTTAGTTCTACCACCTCCATCAGTCTCATTTGTCCCATCTATAAAACGGGGATGATAATAGTACTTACCTCAATAGGGTCATTGTGGGGATCAAAGGAATTATATAAAGCACTATAGAAAGGTTAGGAATTACTGTGTTCCACAGTGCTTCTGGTTAGGAATCCTCGTAAGACAGTATGACCTAGCAGAAAGGATTAGACTTGGAATCTAGTCTAATTTCTGCCCTGAATGAACTGTATCATCTTAGGTGAATCATTTGCCTTCTCTGTGCTTCAGCTTTCTCATCTACAAAATGTGGGGGCTAGTCTAGAATTCAGAATTCACCTTTTTTTTGTCCTTGACTCTTCTGATAGTCTGGTGAAGTCTATGGATCTTTTCTCAGAATAACATTTTTAAATGCATAAAATAACACATAGGCTTACAAAAGAAACCAGAGGTTAGTGAAAATAAAGATGCTGCTTTTTCCCAACCAAGTTCACAGACCATGTGAAATCTATCCATCCATGGACCCTGGGTTAAGAACCCTTAGTCTAATGGTCTTTAGGATCCTTTCCAGGCCCAATATTCTGATTTTTTTTTATTCCTTTAGGAATTCAACCACTTTTTCTCCCTATTCCTTCTTTCTCCAGTGTGTTCTCCTATGGAATCCTTGAATTTTGAGGCTGGAAGTATCTTCTATGGGCTAGCTAATCCATCCTCTAGACAGATTATAATTTTCAAAGCCCACCAGAGGAATAATTTCCATATCTCCTTAAAGAATCCACTCTAGTATTAAGAAACTCAGTTTGAATTCTGCCTCACACACTTACTGTCTGTGTGACATTGGGCAAGTCACTTAGCTTCACTTTGCTCCTCTGCAAAATGGGGATAATAGTAGCACTTAACTCACAAGGTTGTCACAAGGACCAAATGAAATAATGTCTATGAAGGGCTTTGTAAACTTAAAGTACTACGTAAATGTTAGCTATTAATTTTCATTATAATTACATGAGAGCCAATTTTCATTTTTACGTGTTAATAAAAGGAAAAAAGTCTCAGATAACATGTGCCTGCTTCTTTTCCCTCCTTCTGCTCATATAAGGACGACCTTGGAAATAGCTCTCTGCTGCTTGGCTGAGAAACAATTCATCCCAAGGAAGTAAGCACAAGAGAATGCTTGTTTCATTTATTTAACTAACCATGCATTTCCATGGAGTACTGTGGTTTGACAAAGGCCATCAAGAATTTGGTAAATGTTTTGTGATGTACTTAGTGACAAAGCTCTTTGCAGGGAATACCAAGAATGGATAAAAGGGTCTCAGTTTCTTTTCCTTGCAAAAAAGGTCCACGCTTTCTTCCTCTGCAGTCAGATGTATTCTAGAATCATATGGCTCACTCGGGAGCCTAGGCTCTGACTCATAGGTCACTGGCAGGAGGCTAAGATTACAAGAAGGCCAGTATCACGATTTGGGTATGATTCCTTCGGATATGATAAATGGGTACTACCAGCCATTATACTTTTAACATTTTTGTTCAGAGTTGTGATTTCTTTGGTGTCTAAGGCTCCCCATTAAAGAACCTTCTTCCACAAATAATGAACTAACCACAATTACTCTACCACTTAAGTCTTAAAACTTCTTGGGGTACTTTAGAAGGTTAAATGACTTGCCCAGCCTCACACAGACAGTATGGATTTGAGGGAAGACTTGAACCCAGATCATCCTGACTTTGCGTGCAATTCACTAGCTGCTATTCTACATTCCTCTGCATAGACTAATATGACCTGAAATTTCTAGGGTTATTTGATAGGCGGAAAGCCCATTAAAACAAACTCCAAATATATCTGGATTCTTTTGTTCTAAAGGGATTTTGCTTTATTGAATACAGTGCTAGAAATTCCATTCCCAGTCTATGAGAATTTGTGATAAGAGAGAGTCAATACTCTAGCTAATTAGCAAATGAAAAGAAGTTTAAATCTATTCTGAAAAAGAGAAATCAAGTTGTGGGACTGGATTAGACTGGATATACAAATCAGCCCCAACCAAGTCTTCCACATTTCTGGACATTTACATCTATCTGTATGCCACTATTTATTTTGGTGGGCACTTGGGATCCTAAGTGGACTTATATAATGAGGGTCACTGGGAGAGGAACAGGTAAGTTGATTTAAAGGATCAAGAGACAGTTTTCATATATTTGAACTGGAGGGGGTACCTTACTACCTTCTTGCTGATAAAGCAAATCATACACACTGTGGTCCCTTGGTCATTCAGAAAGACTATTACATAGACTGGGATTAGAGAATGAATTATTGTTCAGGATTACTCCCTGTACAGAATTTGTGGCACTCATGTCAGCAGGACACTTACCATGCTGAGATATGGGGCAGCAGATTGTATGGAGATCTCTGTCTGAATAAAATTTTACTAATGTATCCGGAATCTTGAATGTGTAGGACTCCAACCAGTCCCTAGCCCAGAAGGACAAAGATCTAGCAGTTCCACTCCAATGTATATGCTTTTTCACCTTTCCCTCCTCCCAATGCACCTAGCTTTCATTTCCCAAGCGGGCTGACTCACTGGTTCCAGGAAAAGGATACTCCCTTCTTTGCTTTTCTCCTGAACGTTCTCCATTCCAGGGAGAGCTGATGCCACACGCCGGAATAGCTGGGAATTGGGGGTAGGGGTGGAGGAAGAAACACAACATGAAAGGCATCAGAATGAGTGCTGTCTTTTCCTCCCTCCCTCCCTCCCCCTGCCTTCCTCATGGTGTTTTCCATCCACCTTCTGGGAGCTGTAGCCTTTCACAGCAATGTGGGAGATCGGTAGCCAAGGACAACGAAAGGCTCGTCATGGAAATGGGAAACTTGAGAATAAAGAGGGATGTGGTTGCTGAGGTCCATACAAGGGCTGACTCTGTAGTCAGGAAAAAGAATTTTGGCAAGGCACTATTAGACGGCCAGACTCCTTCTCAAGGAGACTGTAAGTCCCAGGAACAGGGAGCTGAGATTCTGTCTTATGCACTAAGGTACTAAATTTGAGCCAGATGCATTGTTATCACAAAGGCCCAGTGGTGTCTGGGAATATGCATAAACCATATTATCATGTAATCACGGCATGATAGTTGAGTGTGTGTGTTTGAGTGTGTGTGTGTGTGTGTGTGTGTGTGTGTGTGTACATGTGCAGGTGCGTGTGCTCATGTGTGTGCATACACATCCCTAGACCTCAATGCACTGTGAAATTGAATAATGAAATACAAGAATGAAATACAAGAAGTCTGTCAGGAAGGGCAGGCAGGAGTCCTAGTAGATACCAGAAATGTCTTTACTTACCTGATAATTTAAAACAATAATGACAACCAGGAGGTGTTGATACTCACACGATAATACAAAAGCTTCCTGGTTCTCTTTCTGGGACTTTGTGGACTGTAGGATTTTGAAAGGCTGTGTGGTACAGTGAATAGAGAGCTAGCCTTGGAGTCTGAAAGATTGCAGTCCAAATCCTGCCTGTGCCACATACTACCTGTGGGGCTGTGGCCAAATCACTGACCTTTTCAATGCCTCCAGCCAATTCTTCAAGGTCGGATTTATAGGTTAGTTGCTGATCTGCCCTGGTGAAGGAATTTTCCACCTTAGGAGTTCCTTACCCTGATGGAATCCTAGCTTTGGATTTTCCCCAAATCAAAGGATTTAGAGCTGGGAAGGAACCTGAAGCTGGTATTCATATCCAACTCCTCTGACTTCAGATTCAATCCTCATTAAAAAGAAAAGAAATACTAGGCTGTCTTGCTAGATTAGATCATGGGGTGTATGGGAATGAGCCCTGAGCTAGGAGCCAGAAGCCCTGTTTCTAGTACTGGCTTCAGTTCTTACCACCTACGTAACCTTCACTGGGTCACTAATACGTCTCAGAGCTTCGATGTCCTTGGCTGTCAAAAGGACATAGTAATACATTAACCTACCACACAGGGTATTTCTAAGTATCGGATGAGATCATAGGATCATAGATTTAGAGCTGGAAGCGATCTTACAGGCCATCTGGTCCAAGCCCCTCATTTTACAGATGAAGCAACAGAGCTCAGGAGAGTTTAAGTGACTTGCTCCAAGCCACAGAGACAATAACAAAAACAAACAAACAAAAGGAAACAACAGAATTTGAACCCAGCTCTCTAACTCCAAATTTGGCACTTATCACTGAACCACGCTGCCACTTCTATAGCTTTACTGATGAATTAAGGGGGAAAGTAAAATAAAACAAAATAAAATATACAAGCTTCTTCGGATGCAGCGGGGGACAACAATTTTTCATTTCATTTCCCTCTCTCTGGTCCCTAGGATTGAGCCTTGTACATAATAGGCACTTAATGACTAAATCCTTATTGAATTGAATTAAGGAGACTGGTCTAGATGTTCTCTAAAGTTCCTTCTACTTCTAATGAACTAATCGGACTTGGTCTAGTTTTTAATGAATTTTTGATTCCTAGCAAAGTCCCAAGATGTGGAGGTTCATCTCTCTAGAGCTTCCTTGAGAAGCTGTTATTCCTTTGAACATAATGGATGGTTTGCCCTGGAGAGGTGCACCTGACCTCTAGTCTAAGTTTTCTTGGATTCACTTTTTTTTTCCTAGTGAAGAAAACAGCCTTTTTCTCAGTTCTTTATCATTTCCTCACATAAATGGTAATTTGTTAGCAACTGCTCACACTTTCCTTTTTATAATGTTGCTATTGCATATGGTAAACAATCCTCACTTTATACTTGTTTGGTCTGATAGTTGTATGAGATAGAGTAAAAATTTCATTGTTAGAGATTAACAGACTAGATTCAGAGAGCTGGGAGGGAGCTTAGAGGTCCTCTAGTCCAAAGCTTCATCAAACTGACAAAGGGCACCATGAAACTAAAAATGGTTAAAGAATGCCTGGATTCTCAGGATGTTTTTAAATGCTTTAGATAAAATACATAAGATTACAAAGGAAACCAACCATATTGAAATATAGTTATCAAAAAAATTTTTTAAAAACAAACCAAGTTCTCAGAACCAAAATTTAAGAATCCTTACTCTAGTCCAATTCTCCTCCCCCCAACCCCCTTTCCCCACTTTACAGATAAGAAAACTGCTATCCATTTTTGAGAAATAATTGGAATCTGCATATGTAGTTAGGAACCAGTATCTTTATTATGAATAGTTATCATGCCAAAGTTCAGATTCTGTGTTTAAGAGGACTCTTCTGTATGTTTTGGGAGCTGATATTTCAAATGGATTTTTCCATTTAAGAAAATGGAGTGATTCTGTATCTTGACATGATTTATTGTTTCAAGGAGAAGCAGATACTGTTGGAAACTAATGGAAATTATTGACTCTGGGCATGCTGCTAAATCATTTGCATAACAACCAGCACAGAGATGCATAAGTTTTATATTAGCACCCATTCTCCTCCCTTCTCCCACTACCATCATTGAACAAGATGAAATGTAATAGAGATAAGTGTAAAGTCTTACAATTGGGTTCAAAAAATAAACTTTGCAAGCACAAGATTGGGGAAGCCTAGCTAGAGAACAGCTTGTTTGAAAAAGATCTGGGGGGTGGGGTTTAATGGATTATAAACTCAATATTAGATTCAGTGGTGTGTTATAGAGATCACCCTTCCAAAAAAATTATTTTAGGCCTCATTTAGAAAGGCATAGCTTCTAGGAATAAGTAGGTGATAGCCATCTTGTACTTAGCCAGCCTGCATCTTGTATGTTGATTGTCTAATTCTGGGCACAGCATTTTAGGAAAGACACTGGTAAGCTGAAGAGTGCCCAGAGAAGGGCAACCAAGATGGCAGAGCATCTTGAGATCATGTCATAAGAGGACTTCTTCAGGAAAGTGGTCCCATTTAGTGTGGAGGAAGAAAGACCTAGGGAGACATGATTAGCTGTCTTTGTGTGAAGACTTAACAAGATTATTTTGAGTCTCCTTAATAAATCAAAAGAGAATCCTCTATATTGGTTTCTCTCCTACCTGTAGTATTAAAATGCTTTCTTAAAACTCAAGTGCTGAATGTGAGTACCATTGTGAAATGCCTTGTAAGCCATCTATGTAAATGAGCTGTAACCCAATGCCAATTGCGCAAAGAAGTCCTGGAAATGCAGGATTTCATCATCCATTACCAGGTTGGATGCAGCATGGAAGAATGGAAGAGGAACTAGAACATGTCAGAACAATCAGGTTCCAGTCCTGGCTCTGCCCTTGAACAACAAGTGAATGATGTCTCCAGCTCTCAGTTTGTTTTCTCTGTAAGATGAGGGATTGGCACTTACTAACTGTGTGACCCTGGGCAAGTTACTTAACCCCAATTGTCTCCCCCCCCCAAAAAAAGATGAGGGGTTGGGCTTAATGGTCTCTGAGGTTCCTTCAGTTCTAATATTCTGTGATTTTGCTATAGTGGTAGTGATTTTGTGAATTTGTGATTCTATGATTCTATGATATTGCTGTGGTGGTAGTAGTATGGTATGGTGGGAAGGGATTTGGATTTGGAGCTATGAGGCCTGGCTTCAAATCCTAGCTCTGATTTTTCTGGGTTGGACTAGGTGACCTCTAAGGTCCCTTCCAGCTCTGTATCTATGATTTGATGAATCAAAAGGGAGGTGAGTCTGGCTGCATTAAGACGTAGACCAGTTTTAATAGGTGTACTGTGGAACAGGATACAGTAAGGGCAAAGTGAGTGTTTGGACCATCTAGTGACAAAGAAAGTGCCTTCCTTTTTTCCCCTAATGCATTGATTTAAACCTCTTTTGAGTCGTTAAAGGAACTCTGAACACTCAGGGAAAGATCTTAGAGTGCAGTTGGGATGAGCAATTTCATCTAATGGGCTTAAGGCTGTTTGTTAAATATGGGCTGAAGATGCGCCCTAAGTACTATCTAAGAATTGGTTGCTGTCTTCTGGAAAATCATCATAGAAGCTCAGAGTTGGCAGATAGTCCAGCTAGGGGACATCTAACCCAACCCATACCCAAGCAGAAATCTCTTTGACAAGAAAAAAATCCAGGGCCACTGAATCTCTAGAATCTTATCCTCCACTCCCTCAATATCTCATTGGTACTTCTATTACAGAGGTTTCAGAGCCTTGGACCGTGAACAATGGTCCCACTCCCAATATTCTGTACCTTATTTACTTAAATCACAAAGCTTTAAATTCAACTTGAATACAAATGTCCCTTGTTTCAATAGCATGATTCCTTTCCTCTTTCTGACAATTGGTCTTGGGGGCACTGTGTACACAAAAAGAAGGTGAAAATCCACCCTGCACAGTGACTGGGGAGTCACACTCAAAAAAGCATGCATTATTGGGCATGGGATTTTGCCCATAGTCACAAACATCATAGGATATGGAGTTGGAAGGGACCTTAGATATTATCTAGTTAAATTCCTTAGACTTTATAATATTCCCAATAAAAAGTCCTTCAGACACCATTGATGATAGTATAACTTCATTTCATTTTTGACTCTCATAGCCTTCCTAAGCTTTCAGCCCATGAATTTGATCTCTCCATTGGTGAGAGGTTGCAGAGAAATTTGACACCCCCTGGAACACCTTGCAGCTCTTGGGCCATACTGTTCTAAGTACAAGTATAATTCTCTTTACTATCCCCACCCTATACTACTCTAATACCCACCTCCACACCTTTGTTTAGGGGATTCCTCTACCCTGGAATACCTTTTCCTATTCACTTCTCATCCAAATCCTACCAAATGTTTTTTAAGGTTTAAGTAAACTTCCATTCCTTCATGAAGGACTCTCTTCTCCCCTAACTGCTTTCAGCCCACAGGGATTTTTATCTTCTTGGAACTCCTTCCCATGGAATTTAGAGTTTGCACTGCTCGTTCAGGTATGTAATTATATAATGTTTTGCATTGTTTTCTATCTAATGTGTACATGTTTTCCCCATTGTTTTAGCTTGGCACAATAGACAAAGTGCTAAGACATGAATTCAAATGTCATTTGAACCTGAATGAATCATCTAACTTTTATGTGCCTCAAAAAAATCTACTAAGTCATAAATGGATTTTAATCCATGCTGGTGAAAGGTGTTGCCAATTTGCAAGTTTTCTATGCTGATGAAATCATAGCTCCTTTATGTCTCTCCAAACAGCTCCTCAATGGCAAGGAATGTAGCTCATATTTCTTTGTTCCTACTCAAAGAACAGCACAGTGCTGAGTACATAGGAGATACTCAAATTGATTAGAATTGACTGATCTCTTCTTCCTACATGATGAAAAGACATTAGAAAATTCCATCTTTCTCAGAGCAAACAAAAATCACTAGGTTAACACCCTTTAAGAGTAAACTCTGTCAACAGGACCATCTTCAAGCACAAAGGACAAGTGGATAGGATGGGGTAGGCGGTGATATGCCACTACAATAGGGAGATGTATATGTATATGTATGTTATGGCTGATGTCTGACACTAGCCTGAGGGACTATCTCATGAGACTTACACCTTCTATCTTGTGATTGTCTTTTCTTTGATCAACCTTGTAAGTTGGATTCACACCTTAGGTGAATATTTTAGCTTATTTCCAGCATGTGACAGCTCTTCTGGATAATGTATGACATTAGCTTTATAAACCTTAACTGAGTTGTATATATGCTCTAAGTGGATCAGAAGCCATATATCTCTTACCTGCTTTACATTGTATCCTGTCTTGGCACTGGTTTCAATGAACATGACACTCAGTTCTTTGGCGCGCTGTTCTCCTTCTTCAATTGTTATCTGCCTACAGACACCACAGAGAAGGGGCAATCACAAGTGACCCACCACAGTTCTACATACTGGGGGAAGAATTTGATGTCCCACAATGGCTGTGGCAGGAGAGCATTGGAGTGGGAAGTTGCAAAATGGGCAGAGCAGACTGTATACTGATCAGGGTTCTTTTACTAAACCAATGGGACACTGTCAGCACCTTGGACAGCCATCTCAATACTGTGTGGCATCTGTTTCATGAAGTCATATTATGCTGCTCCATGAATGGAAGACAGTGATAAACTCCCAACCTTTATGCCATTTTTGCATGTGTCTCTCAGTCTCCATGGATTTACCTTTCCTGGTAATCTGGGATGTGATGGACATTTTCCATTTTAAAATTCACAGGACATTTCACAACTTGCCAGGTGAAGGATGGGTGGGACTGTGATTTTGGGTGTTGGAGTTGATTAAATTTAATTTAGCTTGACTGACAAAATTTGAAGATTTTTTGAGGGGGATCTCTGTACACATTGGGCAAATTTAATTAAATTGTATGCAAATTAGCACTCCACATTGGAGTGAGATCTAGCACTTTTTTTTTTTTTAGAATGCCTGTGGTGATATTGAGCTTTACCCAGGAGAACCAATCCACTGCCTGTTACAGTCCCTTCTCTGCTGCTACAACATCCTCATTTTCTGACTTTTGAACATAGCTGCTGCCTTTACGAAGCCCTAAGGAAATGCACACTTGTGACCTCCTGTCAGAGAATGTAGAAACACCACAGTTTAATTCCACATACAGTTCTCCCCTGGTTTGGGCATACAATCCCATATTCCCACCTGAGTAAGCATTGGTAATGAACATGTCAATTCTGCCTTGAACCAAAGTAAAAATATCCCATGAAAACTCCTAAGTTGGGTAGGTTGGATAAGGACTGCATTTTTGTATTTTGTAGAGTTAGAAACCTTTTTCACTTTTGAATGCCTGTCACAGGCAGAGACATCAAATGGGCTCAGAAACAAGGTTAGTCAGAAGTTGGAGAAGCTCAATTAGAAACTTTGGGGGGGGGGGAGAAACTAGATTAGCCAACCTGGCAACAGAGGAGCTAAGGATACAAGCTTTGACTTTTACAGACTAAAGTTACTACTAGACTAGCCATGAGGGCTAGAATGTTTCTTATCTAAATTTTATATCTTCTTCAGTGTCCAGCATAGTGCTCTGCAGATGGCAGGGCTGAGTAAAGAGCCATTGAATGAATGAATTAAATGAATGAAATCCAGTATTTGGAGAATTAAACATACATATATACAAAGCATCATAGATCTCCTGTTTTTTCAGGAGTAAAAGTAAAATGAGGCTTAAGGCAAGTATGAGCTTGAGTGACTCATATCAGAGAAGAGTTGATATACAATAGCCAGGCACAGGTCCACCCACAAGTTGGGAAATGTGGGAAGGAACATGCCAAGTGTATGGAGTGCTAGCAGCTACTGAAACCCCAGTAAAAGTTTGAAAATATCCAAAGCAGCTGCAGTAAAGAGAGACACTCCAACTGCTTGGGGCTATAGGAACTCCCAATGCAGCAATGTCCAGCCTTGACCCAGAAAAGAAACTGCCCACAGCAGACCTTTTTTTCCCCCAACTTAGTCATGTGTAGGCATCAGGACCATTGATTTTCTGATTCATTGTAGGTGTGATTCATGAGGTTTCAAGTTTAGTTTAAGTTTCTCCACCTTCTGGAGCTTCTCCCTCCCTCTCTTACCTCTTATCTGCTAGGTCTGTTTTGTTGCCCACCAGCATGATGATGACATCACTTCCTCTTTCTGTCCTTACATCATCAATCCACTTGGAGGTCTGTTGGAAGGAGTTGAGATCTGAGGGTGGAAAACAGAAATAGAACTGGAGATAAGTATGAAAGAGAGAAAGGAGTATAATTAAGGGAAGGAAAAAGAGAACAGCTGAAAAGAGATGGAAACAGAGAGATGTTACACTTCTTGGTAGAAGATGAAATACTTGAGGTATGAAGATATTCCAGTAATAGAAGAAAAGAGATGTCATTTTTAAGCATGGAAGGAAAAAAGGAAAAGAGAGAGCAGTATTACAGAGTACCATTAACTGTGTACTAATAGTGCATCTTAAAACCTTCCTGAGGACTAACCCTAGTTTACAATGTGGTGATAATAATGAAGTTACAATGTGTCAATAAGATGAATTTACCATCCCACCAACATGAATAAATTTAAATCTTTTTCAGGGACATTTGGGGGACATTTCTCAGAAATGTTAGTGAATAATTTCACTTTGTCAGGAATGATTAATTTTCTCTGGAAGTTATTTTTATTTAACATTGGCTAGTGAATCACTCTCTCTTTGCTTTTATAGACAAGTGATTTCATGGATCCAGATGTGATAATCCATATGATGACTGGGAATATTAGCTGTTTCAGTCAGTCCCATATTATGGGTCTTATTTTATTTCTATGCAAGCCCAAATTTACCAAGAGCCCTATTTCTTTGTTTTCTACATCTATGGTCTTCTGTGTTCATGAATGACTGACAGAGATACCCACTCTTTGGAGAGGTGTGTGTGTGTGTGTGTGTGTGTGTAGGCCTATGGTAGAGATAGGGACTAAAAGATGGTGTCTGGAGGACAGTTCAGCTTGAAGGTTCAAACAAAGGTAAGCCAGGGCAGAGTAAACAAGGCTACAATGCTGACAGAGAGTTGCGGTGTAGTTGATCCTGTCATGAATATGATTTGACTTTCTGCCTCAGGTCTCTCCCCACTCCTATCCATCCTCCACACGGCCACAAAAGTGATTTTTCCCAAAGCATAGGTCTGACTAGGTCACCTCTCTTTCAGTAAATTATAATGGTTTCCTCTTATCTATAGGATCTCATATATGTTTGGTATTTAAAGCTCTTCACAACTTGGTCCTCCCTCCTATCTTTGCGGTCTTAAAGGGCATTACTCTCCTCTGTCCACTTTATCGTCTAGCCATATAAGTCTATTTACTGTTCCTTATGTTACTCTAAATCCCATCTCTGGGCCTTTGTACTGACAATCACCTGGGCCCGGAAAGCTCTTCCTCCTTATCTCCACCTTGTTGACTTCCTTTAAAACTCAGCTCAGGTGTCCTCTGTTGCAGGAAGGCTTTTCATGGTGCTTCTGAGCTGCTAGTGCCTTCCCTTCTCAGACTTTCTATATGTATCTTGTACATCAATTTATGTATATGGTGTCTCCCCCATTTTAGCTTAAAAGCTCCTTAGGGGCAGGAACTGTTTTTATTTTTCTTTATATTCTCAGGCTTAGCACAGTACCCAGCACATAGCAAGCACTTAATAAATGCTTGTGGATTGACTGATTGGATGTTGCAAAAAAAAGAACTTGCTTCCATTTCCTCGGTCTTGGACTTTGGCAGCTGCTTCCTCTGCACCAGTACTGATGGGTACCATTGTTCTAATCCCTTACATATATTCTAGCCTGTGATTTTCCAGCCTGGACCTGGGTGATGTCTTTCTTTGCTGTGCATTGTGTATCTCGGTTGCAGGAGCAACTACAGCCAGGAGAGGCCAGCTCTGTGTGCAGAAATGAAGCCTTTTATTCTCCACACCCTCTTTTTCTCCTCATTTCATTTCTTTCCAGATTAACCTCAAGGAGGAATCTTAATTCAGTGCAAAATAAAGCACCTGCCAACACCCAGCATCTCTATCATCTTCACAAGCACCTGTAAAATTATCTATAGCCATCTTAAATATAATGAGTCTTAGTAATCTTTTAGGGCAATGGAAAATTCCTCATGGAATTAGGATAAAAAAAATGAAAGTAATGAATCTATCTAGAGTCTACCTAGGAGTTCTTAACTATTTTTGAGTCATAGACTTGGTAGGCTGGTGAAGTCTATGGACCCCTTCTCACAATAATATTTTTAAGTGCATGAAATAAAGTACATAGAATTACAAAGGAAACCAATTCTATTTAAATACAGTTATCAATTAAGGAAAAAAAAACAGTTCATGGACCTCAGGTTAAGAATGCAAACAAAATACGCATATCCGTGTTCATGCCCTGAGCACCAAAATATTTCTGAGAAATTACAGTTTTTTTTCCTCTACACCTTCCCTCCCCCACTCCCTGCCCCCCCACCCCCATGAATCACAAGCACTAGGTAACCTGGGCAGATGTAGGAAATAAATTGCAGTGTGTGCTTGGTGTTTAAATGAAGTCTCTAGACTCCTGCTGCTCAGTAAATGTACCAGGTGTTGCTGAGTGATCCCTAACACCGCCTTCTGCCAGGGTCTCATTCCTTGCAGATACATAACCATGCAATACCATAATGACTACATAAAAGCCATTGCCACACCTAGATGTAAGGATCAGAAGATTCAAATTTTCCCTTTCAACTCTACAGCTGGGGTATTTGTGCTGGGCCACCATTTTGCTTGAAACACAGGCATGATAAAACCACCCATGTTGCACTCACTTGTGATGTCATATACCACCACCGCCACAGTGGAGTCCCGGATGTAACTGGGGATTAGGCTGCGGAATCTCTCCTGTCCAGCGGTGTCCCAAAGTTGCAATCGGACCTGCCAACGGGACGAAGAGGAAAAGGGAGGGAGGAAACGAAAGGAGGAAAGGAAGCAGAGACAGAGGTATTAATTCTTTGTATCCCCAGTGCCTAGCCCAGAGTAGCCTAGCACACAGTATGGGGCTCAAGAAATTCATATTGATTGATTACTGTAAAGGGATTGCATAAAGCAAGGTTGGCCCAGAAAAGGAATTATCAATGGTATTATCACTTGAGGTTCTATGCTTTTGTAGTGGGGAGAAAGAGAAAGGAACACCATCATCTTAGCTTCCCAACCACTGGCATTGCTGCTGTCATAATAGCTAAAATTTATGTAAGACCTTAAAGTCTGCAAAGTACTTTACAAATACTTTCTCATTTGATCCTAATAACCTTTTAAGATAGGTGATATTATACTCATTTTATAGATGAGTAAACTGAGGCTAAAAAATTAAGTGAGTTGCTGGGGTCCACACAGTCAGTAAGTAAATGTCTGAGACAGGGTTTGAATTCAGGCCTTCACTGAGGGCAGCAAGAGAAGCCCAGTGCATCAGTTCTTCTTACTCTGCTTTGTGTTAGAAATCAATGGGGTCTCGTGTACCTGCATAGACTCCTCTTCCCTAGACTTTGCCTTGTTAAGTTGAAGTTATCCCAGTTCTCAAATCTGGCACTTACCGTACGATCCTCCAAATACATAGTTTTTGATAAGAAGTCAATCCCAATGGTTGCCTGTAACAAAGGAAAGAAAGATACAAGGTGAGAAAGATCAAACGTTTTAAAGACCATGGAGAACTAAATACTGGACAAAAGGTTTGGTAACCCTGAATGTGTTTAAGAAGAGGAAGAAGGAAAGCGTGGTGTGTAGAACAGAGAGCAGTCTGGGTCCCTCTTTTGGACCATCTGACCTTTAGGGAATCTTATATAATTCCTTAACATTAATTAAAATTTTTTTCAACCAACAAGCATTTGTTTTCTCTTTGTTTCCTCAAAACCCCTATCCTACTCCTAGGGAAGAAAAAAAAAACAAAACTCTTGTAATAAATGTGCATAGTAAAGCAAAAGAAATTCTTACATTGGCCATGTCCATGCCTCATTCTGCATCTTGAGTCTCTCACTCCTCTGCCAGGAGGGAGGTAGCTTTTTTTTTTTTTAATCATTGATCCTTTGGAATCATGGTTGCACACTGCAGTGATCAGAGTTCGTAAGCCTTTCAAAGGTTGTTTGTCTTTATTAGATTGTTGTCATTGTAAAAATTGTTCTCCTGCTTCTGCCCCCTTCACTCTGTATCCGTTTTCCCACGTTTCTCTGAGACCAACCCTTTCATCATTTCTCTTAGCACAATAATATTACATTACATTCAAATGCTAAAACGTGTTCAGCCATGCCTTAATTGATGGGCATGCCCTTAGTTCCTGGTTAATTTCCACTATAAAAATAAGAGCTGCTAAAAACATATTAGTACACATGAGTCCTTTTCCTATTTATTTGATCTCTTTAGGAAATACAGGCCTACTAATGATATCACTAGGTCAAAGAATACCATCTTTCCTATTACCTGGATGAATTCTCTTCTTAAGGAACTTGAATTTCCTCTCCCCATCCCCAGTAGAATAATAATAATAGTATTATCAGCATCAACTAAAATGTCTTAGTTGGTCACTGAGTACAGATTCTGGACTAGGCAGTGTGATACAGTAGAAAGGACTTGGAGTTAGAAGACCCGGGCTTTTCGTCTTGGGTCTGCCATTTACTAATGTTAATAGGTCCCTAAAATTCCCCAAGCCTCAAGTTTCTCATCTGTAAAATGGGACTAACAACAACAATACACACACACACACACACACGCACACATGCATGCACACATGTATGCATGTAGGGCTGCTATAAAGAAAGTACCTTTTAAAAACCGTAAAGCATTACATAAATGAGTTAATATCCCTGCTTTCAAAACACAGGTACACACCCATTATATTCTAGGTTCAAAGGCCCCAACTTGCAATGACATGAATTTATCCTACTCTGATACTATCTTTAAAAAAATGGAACCAGTGACCTTCATGACCAATGAAGGAGGCTCTCTTTCAACCTCTTCCTCTATCCTCTTCCTTCACTGGGACCCTGGGCAGGGAAGGGGGTATTAATGTCCACTACTGATCTCTTGGTCACTCCCTCCCAGTTTCCACCATTTTCAAATTTTCATCTCAAACCTGATTAACTTCTTGTTGCTGTCAATGGTAAAGGTCCAGTCTCACCTCCAGCAGGGGACATGTGACATCTTCTCATGTCCATGGAACACGTCCTACCATTCTTTTTCCTTTTCTTGGACTGATCTGAATTCCTACATTCATCCCACTACAGGCACATATGTATAAAGCCATTTTTTTTAAGGAAATTTTATTCATGTGACGAATTGGGATGCATTAACATAAGGGATCAGAAAACAATTACTCCACACAGATATGGTTTTATCTTCATTATGAAGCTTGGATTATGAAGGTGTTAGTGATTAATCACTTAGCTAATAGTGTAATACAATGGAAGGAACATTGGCTCTAGGGTCAAAGGACTTAGGATCAATCTCTACCAATGACAATAACTGTCCACCCATGATATTACAAGGTCACCTCTGTGACCTCAGAAAGGTCACTAAGATTTCCTGGGCCTCAGTTTCCCCAAGTCTGGATGACCTCTGAGATCCCTTCCAGTTCTAGATTTATTTATGGTCCTTCATGGGTGGAAACCAAAGTTTAACCAAGTGGGATGGTGACTTCTAATTGGCTCAAGGGCAGGTGGGGAGGGAATAAGCATTTGTATAATATTTACTATGTGCGGAATTGTAGTAGATCAAAAGAAAGGTGAGATGTGCAAATTTAGAGACATCTCCACTTCAAATTTTCATACGGACTATTTGTGCCCAACCTGTGGTAGAGTCTTCCGAGTTCATATTGGTCTGATCAGCCACAGTCAGATGGACACACTGTACCTTGACTCCGACATAGTTATGTCATTTTGATTCTCTTTGAAAACAAAGGACAATAACCAATCACGATGAGCCAGGCACTGTGCTAAGTGCTCTACAAAATATCTCGTTTTATCCTCACAATAATTATGAGAGATGAGTGCCGTCATTACCCTCATTTTACAGATGAGTAAACTGAGGCAAACAGCAGCTAAGTGACTTGCCCAGGATCACACAACTAGTAAGTGTCTGAGGATGGACTTAAATTCAGGTCTTCCTAACTCCAGGCCCAAAGCTCTAGCCACTGCACTACCTTGCTGATTCCAGTTTGCAAGTGTGTTTAATTAAACCATTGAGCCCCACCTAAGATGCTAGAAAAGTGGATCCAGAATCCCAAAACTGGGGGTTTCTGAGAAAGCCAAGACCTTTTCTGGGTTCAAGCCAGGAATGGACCTAGCAACTCGGGGTCACTCCCTTGCTCTGGGGTCTAATGGAAAAAGCCAAAGGCAGGCTCAAGCAAGAAGATCTGACTGCTAAATTGATCTGTGTGTTAGCAAGCTGTGAGCTCTGACTTCTACTACTCACTTTTGATTAATTATCCTTTTATGCAATTTACTCTCTTTCCTTGTATGTGCTTTAAGGTTTGCAAAGCATTTTATAAACATTTGATCCTCTCAACAATTCTGGGAGGTAGGTGCTATTATTTGGGAGACACAAATAGACTTAAAAGTGTGTCTGGGGCAAGAAGAGAGTTTTTGTTGTTAGTATTGTTGTTCAGTTGTGTCTGACTCTTCGTGATCCCATTTGGGGTTTTCTTGGCAGAGATACTGGAGTGGTTTGTCATTTCTTCCTCCAGCTCATTTTACAGGTGAGGAAACTGAGGTAAACAGAGATTAAGTGACTTTCCCAGGGTCACACAGCTACTAAGTGTCTGAGACGAAATTTGAACTCAGGTCTTCCTGGCTCCAGGCTTGGCACTCTATCCATTGCGCCACCTAGTGGCCCCATAAGAACAAGTGGTAGTTAGTTAAGTGACAGAAACATTTTATGATGGCAGTAGTATGGTGCTTAATGATAAGTGTGTAGCTGAAAACTACTTCAGTCCAGCTCAGAGCTTACAAGAAGGATAAGGTTTCCAAGAGGAAATTATTAGTCAAGGCAGTTTTCCCCTTGGGAAGGGATAGAAAGTAGACCATATTCCCTGGGAACCAGAGGATGGTAGGCACAGAATTTTCACATAGGGAGTAATTCCATGGAAATGACAATCTAAAAACTTTATCACATCCCAGGTCACTCAGTAGAATTAGATGATCTCTGAGAGCTGAAATTCTATTCATCCACAAATCCGTTAACGGATGGTTCTGTGTCTTATCCCTTCTTTCCTTCTTCTTTGACTATATAGTGACAGATACCTTTAGATATTTTGTCTTTCTAGCACAGAGATTTTGCTCAGTCCATGTCAGAATTCTTTTTTTGATCCTACCCAGTCCTATCTCTTTTCCCTAGAGATCTCTCAGACATCTCCTTCCTCTTTCGGTTCTTAGTGGATGAATAGAGATGGAGACAATATATTGTTCTCAGTTTGCAAAAGAACCCCAGAGAACTAAGTGCTATGACCTTTTAAATCACAGTCATGATAATACAGGCAGCATGGCCTAGTGGATAGAGAGCTGGTTTGAGAGGCAGATAAACCTGGGTTCAAATCTGACCTCAGACACATATAAGTTGTGTGATCCTGGGAAAATAACTTTATTCCATAATATTCCAGGTATCTAAGGATATAAATTGTATAAAAATTGTAGAGGAAGGTCCCTATGCCAATAAAACCCCAGGTTCATAGCATAAGACAGGCTGGGCTTGGAGTCAGGAAGACGGGTTCAAGTCTAGCCTTGGACATGTACTAGATCTGTGATCCTGGGAAAACTATTTAATTTCTCAGTATTCTAGGAATGTAAGTTAGAGAGTTGTTAGTCTGCAGTGGTTCTCTACCAAGAATTCGCTGCGTAAGTGAAATCACAGGTTCAGACTTCCAAAAAAGTTAGCACCGTAGCATATCCCCAATCTTACAAGACACCACATCTCTCGTTTTTGGACATTTTTGTTGCCTGTCCCTCATACCTGCAACTCTCTTCTTCTTCATCTCTGACTCCCAGTTTGCCTTCAAGTCCCAAATAAAATGCCATCTTCCATAAAGAAGCCTTTCCTGATACCTCTTAATTCTGGTGCCTTCCCTGTCTTAATCACTTTCTATTTATCTTGCATGTAGCTTATTTGTACATATTTTTGACATGTTTTCTCTTATTAGATTGTAAGTTCCTCGAGGGCAGGGACTGTCTTTTGCTTTTCTTTGTATCCCTAGCACTTGGCATATAGTAGGCACTTAATAAATGCTTACTGCCTGACTGATGGTGCTTCAGGAAGGTCAAGAGACTTCTTCCACACCCTTATCTCTCCAGGCATTTTTTCTTTTTCTTCAACCTTGTGTCTTATTCTCTTTTCTTTCCTCTGTGTCCCTTCTTCTCCTCCCCTCGATTTGTTTGCCTCTTTTTCTGGGGTTGTATGCACAAAACCGGCAGCCCCCAAAAGTTTGGCTAAGCCCAATAGCAAATGACTGCATCCAAAGATCAGATGCCAAAAAAACATTCAGTGGCCTCGGTCTGTAACCTGCATGCTGGCTGCTACCCAGGGAGAGAGAAAAAAACTCGACCACCGAGGCGGATTGAGGTGAGGGAGCAGAGAAGAATGGTCTGAGCTCTTTGGAAAGAAAACA